GTTTCTCACTAATTTTATCAGTATCATTTGGTGGTCTGTAAAAAATTCCCACTATAAGCCTTTTCCTTTTATATCCACTAATTGAACACCAATTGGATTCAATCTCCCTGCCATTTTCTTTGATATCCTCAACTTCAACAGGATGTAACTCACATTTTACATATAAAGCAACTCCCCCCCCTCTTTAATATTCTATCACTCTTAAATAGCCTGTAACCCTGTATTTCTAAGAAATTTCTGTCTTAAAAATCATCTACGTTTAACCATGTTTCAGTTATTTCCATTATATTCATATTCTCCATTCCTACCAGTGCTCTAAAGTAATCTATTTCATTTTTTTATCCTTCTAGCATTACAATAGTAACAATTAAGATTATCCTTATAACTACTTCTACACTCATTACCTATGCTACATTTTTCTTTTCCTGGCCCTCACTACTGTCTAGTCCTAGTTTAAAACTTCCCTTACAGCCGAGATAATAGCCTTAGCAAACTCTATTTAAATGTAAACCATCCATTCCAAAAAGCTCCCTTCTTCCACTGAACTGATCCCACAAGTCCAACCAACCAATTTGCTCATCCTTACATACTAAATTTTTACATTTTCAGCCAACCTTTCCTCATACATTGTTTTGATGTCCTAATATCCTCTTTCACCAACTTCCTTGATCTTCTAAATCTTCTGTCATACCAGTAAATTTAAATATCTTAAATCTATGATGCTTTTCTTTAATTTTATCTCTTATAGCCTTCATGAGCCAACCTAGTTTTTTTTACTTGTAGCTACTCTTTTCTTTCTATAAGAAATATGTTTGTTTGCCTTAAATATTTAAAAATGTGTCCACATCTGATCAGTGTCTCCAAATGTTTGTTTACCTTGAATATTTAAAAATTTTCCACATCTGATCAGTGTCTTCAAATAACTTAGCTACCTAATTCACAACAGAATTCTTGTCACATCCCTTCAAAATTTGCTTTTTTTTAATTTGTAACCAAAATATCATTATTCCTTATCTCCATGTGCAGTGAAACATCAAACCTAATAGAGCAATGATCACTTGCATCCAGATGTTCCCAAATTTCCACCCTCTCAATCATTTCTGTATTTGAAGCTAACAATAAGTCTAAAATAGCATTGTTTCTAGTTGGTTCCTTGAGTAACTGGTGAAGAAAGCTATCTTGAACAGTTTCCAAAAACCTTTCTCCCTCATGGTTCGACTCTAGAATTTCCTAATCTATACGCTTGAAATTAAAATCACCCATAATTATGACTTCGTTAACAGCTGAAATCTTAATCTCATTGTAAAGTTTCTCACTAATTTCATCAGTATCATTTGGTGGTCTGTAACAAATTTCCACTATAAGCCTTTTCCCTTTATATCCAGTAATACAAACCCAAATGGATTCAATATCTTTGCTATTATTTTTGATATCCTCAACCTTAACAGGATGTAACACATTTTACATATAAAGCCACCACCCCCACTCTTTAATACTCTATCCCTCCTAAATAGCCTGTAATCCTGTATTTCAAAGAAACTTCTGTC